GATCCCTAAGAATTACTGAAGATGGTGTACGGGAACACTGTGCCCAGAGTAACATATCCTACCTTACACAACAAATATAATCATTACAAATCATGTTTCACCTAAGTGAAACCATGGTGGATGGCATGTCCCTGGAATCCCAGCTACTTGGGAGGCTGAAGGGAAGAGGACTTTATGAGCTCAGGATTTCAAAGCCAGTCTGGGCAATAGTAAGACCCCATTTCAAAAGAAAAAGATGTTTCGACCTTTTGTAAATTAAGTATTTCAGTGCAGTGTGGGACCTGGTTTTTGAAGGGGCACATGTATAATAATCTTTACCTAAAATTCCTGTTAAAGGTCTAGTTTTCCCCACATTCTCTGTCAAATTTTGACCCCAAAGTCCCAAAATTTTCTTCATAAGAAGAGACTGTAACATTTAAGCTGTTATCCTCAACATGAAGGTAAATGGCAGGATTTCTGAGGTTATGCTCTTTCTTCTTTTCTCTGAACTTTATTATCTCACTTTCCTCCCACTCGGTCTCAGCATCATACTTGCAACCAGGCTGACATCTGCCTGATATGCTAGCTTGTGTGATGTGACTTCTCTGCACAGCATTGACCTAGTAAACTAACCACCCAAGAATACTACCTTTCAATGTGGAGTCTACGACAACTAATAATTATCACAAAGGCTAGTTATTGAGGATAAAATGAATAGTGCATATTAGTTTATTTAAATTTCCTACAAATTCTCAAACATTTTAAATATACAAATAAGCCAGTGAATCCTTATTTATAAAATAACCATTTGACACATGATAATACAAAGATGGGTTAAAAATTGACTTTGTTTTGTGACCAAATCAATTTCATCAGTAACTAATTTTAATCATGTTGTTTCTGGAAGATGGGTTAAATGATGAAAAAATGGGCGACCATGAACACACCCTTTAATTTCATTTCCAAACTGGTGCTTCATTCTGTAGATAATATCTTGGACATCCTCTTTTGGTAAGTACATGGGTAACTGTCTAGACAGACGCACCGCTTCTCCCTGTGAAGGGAAAGTCATACATTTTACTGTGATATGCCCTGAAGTAGAAAATGTGTTATACTGGTAAGACAGAATTTTGATTATATTTATCTTATTAATTCACTCAACAAAAATTTATTAAGCACCAGGTATGTCCGAGGTTCTAGGGATATTGTGGTGAACAAGAAAACAAGACTCCTGGCTCTTGTGAAATTTACATTCTAGTAAAGAGAAACAGAAGATAGATAAAAATACAAAGATATTTTTAGTGAATAAATAATACACAAAGTTAAACTGGGCAACATGATAGAGTGATTGTGTGGTTGAAATGCTTACTTGAGATGATGTCAAGCTTCTTTTAAAAAGTAGGGAACCATGACGCAAAGATCATGGGGAAAGAAAAGTATTTCAGACAGAGAGAACAGAGAGAATCGAATGTTCAGTATGGGTGTAACATAGTTGTTACAGGGAAGAGAGAAACTAGATAAGGGAGTCAGACAGAGGCCGGATCACCTTCTAGGACAGGGTGAGTGGTTGGGGTTTTAATTTGAATGCACAGGGAAGTAATCAGAGTTTTTAAGCAAAAGTCTGACATTTGTTTCACATTTTAAAACAATAAGTTTGAAAACTATGTGAAGTATTCTTTTAAACCATGGTTACATTCATTTGTGATGAACGTTGTTAAAACTTCTCAAATTTCCATTTAATTTTCCATTTAAAACTTCTCAAATTTCCATTCTTTTAAACCATGGTTACATTTATTTGTGATGAATATTGTTAAAACTTCTCAAATTTCCATTTATTCAGTGATTTAGGTCTTTCACTTTGTCTTTGTTTTTTTGCTCTTGAAGAGATCAGGGTTTACAATCATATTACAATTGTTTTTAGAAAAGTGCATGTCATAAGGTAGAACAATTTTGAATTCCATCTAAGGGGATTAGTTATGGAAATTAAAAAAAAAAAGAACTTCATCACAAATGTTTCATCTATGAAGCTGTTCCTGAATTATGAAATAATGTATGGTAAGAATCCATGATAAAGTTTACCAAACCAGTCTAGAATGTGAAACTTTTTTTTTTGAGACAGTCTTACTCTGATTCCCTGGGTATAGTAGTGTGGCATCATAGCTCACAGCAGCATCAAACTCCTGGCCTCAAGTGATCCTCTTGCCTCAGCCTCCTGAGTAGCGAGACTACAGATGCTCACCATGATGCTGAGCTTATGATGAGAAACTTTTTTTCTTTTTGTAGAGACAATCTTCCTTTATTGCCCTCGGTAAAGTGCTGTGGCTACACAGCTCACATCAACCTCCAACTCCTGGGCTTCGGTGATTCTCTTGCCTCAGCCTCCCGAGTAGCTGGGACTATAGGCGCCCGCCACAATGCCTGGCTATTTTTTGTTGCAGTTTGGCTGGGGCTGGGTTCGAACCTGCCACCCCCCATATATGGGGCCGGCGCCCTACTCACTGAACCACAGGTGCCACCCATGATGTGAAACTTTTAATGGAGCTTTTTAAAATAGTGTTCCTTCTTGCAAACAAACAATAAACCTTACAAAAATTGCTTTACTATTTTGAAGCCACTTATTATTACTTTATGAAGAACAAGTATCTTAAAACCTAGCCAATCTACATATAAATTAATAATGTGTACCTCTAGATAACTTATCACTTTTCGAGGTCTACATTCATAAACTTCCTTTGCATTTTTGTTTAAGATAGCATTAAGAATTTCTTTTAAATCCATTACTCCATAGAATGGGAGACAGTTAGCCATTCCTTCTATTTCCAAGAAGTTTTCAGTAATGGAAACTCCTAAAAGAAAAAATAAAAACACATAGTTTAGTATAAATTATATTCCAGAACATGTCCATTAAAAACAAAACTCCTGTTAAAGCATTTAGTGAACCTTCATTAGAATTTAATATAGTCAGGATAAAGTTTTGTTCCTTAGTTGGAGAACAAATAGCAATCTCCCACAGGATTTCACATTAAGTCATAAGTGCTCGTTGACACCACATGTGCTTTATATAATTTCACTTAATCTCAGTTATTGCTGTTCTGCTCCTTACATTTGTTTAGAACATCTCTTACTTTGGAGAGAAAATGGAGTCCCATGATATTTATTAAAATATAACTGGTTTAAGTGTTTTAACAACTGCTGCTTTTCAAAATCTATCTTACTGTTTTAATATCTAATTTAAAGGTCTGAATTATTTCTGATTATTTCAATTTACAAATTATAAAAACAGTCACACAGTAACTTTTTAATATAGTCCTAATTTGAAGAAATGAAATACTAGTTCAAAATATTTTACCAACAAAAATGTTTAAAAAACTGACATGTTATTTATTAGTGATTACATTAAAACTAAAAACTAGCTACAGAACTGGCAGTATAACTGGGTACATAATCCATAATAGCACATATTTCAAAGCATTAAATTTAGCTTTAGAATATATGATTTTGGAAAATAGCATAGATAAACGTTCTTAGTACTGAAGTCTACATAATCTACCCAGAAGAAAGAGATGATCCAATTTTGGGTAAGTGGTAGCTATCAATGGATTAATACAAAAAAAAAAAAAAAAAGTGAGGGGCGGCGCCTGTAGCTCAACGAGTAGGGGCGCTGGCCCCATATACCGGAGGTGACAGGTTCAGATCTGGCCCCAGCCAAAAGCTGCAATAACAACAACAACAACAACAACAAAAAAGATGTGGTACAACTTGAAAAATTTTAGACCCTAAGACTTCAATAATCCAATCTCGTCCCTATTCCCTACTTATATATTTGTTCCTTAACCTAGATGTCAGAAGCAATGGTGGTAGATTAGTGAGAAAGTATCCTAATGTTTTCCTCAGGAGACAAGTGGACAATAATACGTGATATATAAACAAGTATAAAAATGAGATACAAAATTTAATGAAGGGAGATAAAATGCATATGATAAACAGGGGGAGCTTAAATGGGATTCAAAACAGTATATATGGACAGGCAACAAAGTAGTAGCAGACTGTTCTAGTTCATATCTCTTTTACATATTTATACAGATATGAAAATTTCTAAAAATATCCTTCTATCCCCATAGCTCAGTGGGTAGGGCGCCGGCCGCAAACACCCAGGCTGGTGGGTTCAACCAGCCCACACCAGTTAAACAGCAATGATAACTGCAACAAAAAAAATAGCCAGGCGTTGTGTGGGTGCCTGCAGTCCCAGCTGCTTGGGAGAGTGAGACAAGACAATCACTTAAGCCTAAGAGTTTGAGGTTGCTGTGAGCTGTGACACTACAGCACTCTACTGAGGGCGACACAGTGAGACCATGTCTCAAAAAAAAAACCAAATCCTTCTAGGAGACTTTTCACTGTTACTAGTTCTAAAACTTTTACAGTATGATTGGATTAAAGAGTCTAATACTATGTACACTTGCCCTGGAAAATTATATACGTTTCACAGAACTACTAGTGGAAATGGGCAAAAAATATTTGGCCACAAATAAAGAAATTGAGCAATATTTTAATCTGTTTGCAAAATTCAAATATAGAAAACTTTGAGACATTAGGAACTATGTAATAAACTTTCAAAAGTTTCCATAAACTTCTATAAAATGCTTCCCAATTTGCAGAGAAAATACATTAATGAATAAGTGGTTTGGTAAGTCTTCACTTCCTAAAATATAAAATTCTTATTGAACCAGGACAAAAAGCTATTTCCATCAAAAAACAAAGTTCTTAAGAATAATACTCAGATCTGGCTTGCCTGAGTTCAAATCTTTTTTTTTTTTTTTTTTTTG